TTTTTTCCTTATTGCACTTTAATAGTAAAGAAAAATGAAACGATTCTCTTTATAAATCACGTGAGGATAGTAACTGTAAAGAGAATATAGATATTAGATCGTTAAGGAAGAGGAGCGAGATAGACGTTTTTTTTTTCATTCTATGATGAAAATGGTGGTAAGCAATGAACGGAGGAAGAAAAATATGGAGAGCTCAGCCGTTCATTCACTTGTTTTATTCTACGTTGTACACATGCCTCACACTCCACGTTGTAAATGTATTGAGTGTGAACGAATTTTTCATTCACACGAAGTACGTGCAGTCGGTGATGGACTTCTCCGCTTGTTTTTTGCTGTACGACTGTCGAAACGTATATCTTGTGACGATGTTATTTGTCAGAAATGTCGATGCCATTTCATTCATTGGAAAGCCAAAATGGAAGGTGACTTTGATTCATTGGATTGCTTTAATCGATCGAATGTAGAGTCGGTGAACAATGATGATAATAGCGTAAGGAATGGAATTGTTTTCATTAGTAATATATATGATAATTTGACAGGTGATGAATACTGAAGAGGATCTAAACTGTTCGGGTAATTCAAATGGAAACGTAGAAGTACAATCTAATAGTATTACTATTCCAATTTTCCGATGTTCCAAGTCTCACGAGTAAGAATCTTGTATCAAACTGCTGAAACAAATAGTTTTTGTCTCTAGGTCTTGTGTGTTTTGTGATAACCAAGGTTTTTCGTTGAGAGTTTTATCACAAATGCAAAGAACAACAATTTTTTTAAAATGTGGTGTACTTGCTGTTCCAGGATCTCGTTGTTGTAGAGATCACTTGTGTAACGATGGAGTTACTTTTAAATCACTTAGCAGTATTCGTATATCGAAGGCTGATCAATGGAAGATTGATTCGAATGAATTTCAAATGTTCGTGGAAGATGTTCGTGCCATTTTATTTAAACAAAAAACTTTTGATTTTGATGATGAAACATGTTTCAACGATGAAGGTTTTCAGAGTATTGTTGGATTAACGAAAGGTATTTCATAATTGAAAACAGTAGCTAAAATTTATGATCACTTCCATCAGGATTTTCTAATTGTATAGTATCTTTGTATTTGAAATTACAATGAATGAGAGATAAAACCTGCTATCTTTTGATTGAAATTTACATTTGACAAGAAGTTACTGTTCTCGAGGAAAATCAATGAATTCCTGGTCTCATCTATTTTTTTCTAATAAGTCGACTATTAAAAAAATTGATCATACCTTTATAATTGTAACTAGCGTTCAATATTGAATACTTTCTTGTTGAAAATATTAACTGAAGGCAGTTTTATTGGGATCATTTTCAAGTTGTAACTTAATTAAAACATCTCAGTCCATCTGAAAGAAAAATGCAATATCCAATTACCGAAAAAAATATCATTCAAAAGGAATTTTGGACTGTGTCGAGAGTAATTTTTTTACACATATTATTATGATAATTTTGTTTATAGAACAATTTAATCAGTTGGCTGCAACATTGCCATCAATGCGAAACTCGAGTACAAGATCAGTCCGCGTTGCTGTTGCCGTATTTTTAGCAAAGTTACGTTTGGGTTTAAGTAATCGCGTTTTAGCCATTTTATTTCATCTTGACAATAAAAGAGTTGTTTCTCATATTATCAGTCAAGTTCGCAAAGCTTTAATTAATGATTTTGTACCTTATCATTTGGGCCTACAACATATTAGTCGTGAAATTGCCATTGAAGAGCATCAAACAAACATTGCTAGTATTCTTCATAGTAATAAACCTGACCAATTAATCGTGATAGCTGATACAACTTACATTTTCGTGCAAAAATCAAGTAACAATCAAGTACAAAGAAAATCTTATTCTATGCATAAACATCGAAATTTAGTTAAACCTATGATTTTAACAACTACAGTGAGTTTCTCGTCTGTTGCCAAAAAGTAGTAGACGAAATCATTTTTTGTGTCATTCCTTAGCATATAAACTTAGTCGTATTCGATTCTTTTTATAGGATGGGTATATTTTATGTACTATTGGGCCTTTTTTCTCAGATTACAACAATAACGATGCATCTATCCTAAAGCACTGCTTACGCAAAAACGAACACAATATAATAAAATGGCTGCATAAGGACGACATTTTAATAGTCGATAGAGGATTCCGTGACGCAATACCAACAATTAAGCATTTTGGTTATGAAGCAGTTATGCCTTCATTTGTAAATAGAAAACATCAACTTAATACCCAGGATGCAAACCATAGTCGTTTAATTACAAAAGTTCGCTGGGTCATTGAGAGCGGTATAATATTAGTTTTTGTTTGAGTCTTTCTATTTGTTTCTTTTCCTAGTAAATGGACAAATTAAACAGTGGAAATTTTTTAATCAAACAATCCAAAATTCATCACTCCGTTTTATTAGTAATTATCTTCAGATTATTTGTGCGCTTATAAATGCTTTTCGGCCACGGCCTGTTTCTGATATTCAAGCAGGCTCCGAAGTGGCTTATTATATGCTTGAAAAATTTAATCAGCAAAATAATATTCAACTTCGCCTTTCTGAAATCGCTAAAGAACGATCCGGTTGGAAAACTTATGATGCAAGCATGTGCCTCTTTCCAGAGTTATCTCAAGATGATGTTCGCACTTTATGTTGCGGTATGAAAATGATACAACTTTTCATATTATGATCGATTTCGTTGTAGGAAGTTATCAAGTAAAACAGGCCATTGCATATATCGAAGAACACTTAACACCATCTCCCCTTTACGACGATGAAGTCGAATTTCTCGTTGAGCTTTGTTCACAAAATGATGATATTGTTCGAGCTCGCTTCTCTTCTCGTCACAAGAACAACAAGAACCACATGGCTCTCATACAATATAAGACCAATTATACAGAACAGCCCATCAATGGTTGGTACTGTACCTGCATGTCAGGAGCACGGGATGTCGGCTGCTGCGTCCACGTAGCGGCCCTATTGTGGCATCTCGGTGTACGTCGTGCGGAAATAGAATCAAACACTCATCCTCTTTCAGCTAGTGAGATCTATTCTGAAATCGTCGACAGTTTACAATTTTCAGATGTCGAAGCTTCAGATGATGAGCAAAACAGTACCGGTGATGAATCATAGAAAACAATAATGCGAATTAAAACAGAGATGGCTTATCGTTTTTTTTTCAATCATTTCATCTCAACACAAGAACAATTAACAAGATATATCCAT